AGAACTGTCAGGGACAATAAAAGGTTTTTGTCAAATATATTAATGGCAATGGGCAGTGCAAAATAACCTTGGCTTGTTACAGGATGGGGATGGTCACCTCCCAAACAGGGCCAGGGACAAGACAGAGATGCTTAGTGCATTCTTTGCCTCTGTCTTCAACACAGCTGATGGACCAAGGGGGTTTCAGTGCCATGAGATAGAAGACCAGCGCTCACCTCAAGAATGTTCAACTCCCAGGTGACCCTGAAGTTGAGCAGGATCTGCTGCTTCAGCTGGATCCCTAAAAATCTATGGGGCCTGATGGGATTCATCTGAGAATCCTCAAGGAGCTGGCTGATGTCATTGCAAAACCTCTCCTGATTTTTGAGTGGTTTTCAGAATCCAGAGAGATCCCAGTGGACTGGAAGCTGGGTGACACTGTCCTGATTTTCAAGAAGGGCAAGAGGGAGGACCCTGGAAGTTACAGGCCTGACAGTCTCATTTCAGTGCCAGGTAAAATCATGGGAAAAACTATTCTGGAAGATACTGAAAACCACCTGGAGGACAATGCAGCCATCACTCCCAGGCAGCACAGCTTCATAGAGGGAGGTCCTGCTTGTCAAATCGGATTTCCTTCTATTTCAGCTTCCTTCTGGGAATGAAGATGACACATTAAACAGATCTTGCTCATCTGAAATGTCTGAGTCCAATTCTCTGTTAGAATGAACTCCATTTATACTTTTGATGATTTGCCAGTTCCCAAAAAGTGTTGAGTAACACCTGCTTGATTACAATCTGTCTGCACTGCTCTTTTGGTCAGAATTATCTTTTGATACCCCATGAGACGTAACACAACAGTGTGTGCTTTTACATTACGTCAGTTAGGTTAATTCTTCCAATTATACCTTTAAGTAATTATAAGATTTTCTTTCATACTATTCCTGAGATGATGGGATTGTCAGGATTTTGCCCCATAAAACCTGAAAACAATGGAAAAAACGCACATATTCAAGGGTACAAATACAAACCTAATCTACACACAGCACAAACCTACCAGGTTTCTTATAGTGTGCATCAGTCAAGACTTTGTATTACTGTCCCTTTCTCTTTTGCATTCTAGATTTACAAAATGCCCTTTCTTTACATACCAAAACCAATAATGCACTTAAGTAATGCACTTAATGTAGCCTAAAAGTATCAATTCAATAGAATTCCAGAATTAGAAACAAGTATCTGGAAAACCTTACAACAAATCTTCGATATCTCATCTCTGATACTTCCTCAAAGTTTCCAGATGTGGTGAAACATGATGGTGATAATTTCTTCCACCTGGAAGCCCCCACCTCAGGTCCATCAACTGCAGTTACAACCTGCTTCTTCACAGTAGTTGTATAATTGAGGAAAGCATTCTTCCATTAATGCATTTCTTTCTGCCCCTGATTCTAGCACAAATAAGCATAGTGAGATCAGGTTGTTGTAACTTTAAAAAAAAATCATTGCGGTTTTGATTATTTTGCTGTGTTGATGGCAGAAGCTTTGAATGAGTCAGAGGATAATTATTTCTCAAATAAGACAGATATTCTTACAGATAATCTTTGTACATTGATACCTGAAGTGATCTGATGTAATGAGGTACCTCACCAAGATTGTGTTTACAAGCACATGCATAGCAAATCACATTTTAACGATTCTGCTTACAAGACACACATTTAACTGGAGATTTAAATACTGGTGAGCTGGATCTAAATTTGCAAAATGTACATCTAAATCTAAATTGTATGCACTTTCCTTCCTTCCAGCAAGGAAGGAGAGTGCATAAAATTGTGAGCTTGCAACACTCAAAATATTAAACTACTCAGAATCTTGCAGAAAAGAGGAAGTGAGGCTTTTGAGTTGTCTCCACTTCTTCACATAACAAATTGCATTTACTTGATATACAAGAATCCCACAGCCTCAAATCAAAATTTCTAGATTTGTCCCCGTGCATAACTTTTTTCTGGTGACATTCTTTCCTCCCCTCACAGGGTTTACTATTAACACTTTATAAAGTATTTTATCATCTTTTAAAATACCTTAAGAGATATGTTAACATACAGAGAAACAACATGTGTTTATCAACTGTAATTTTCAGAAGACTAACCAACCATGTTCTTAAGACTCCAAACTCAAGATCCTTCCTCCTTCTTCCACTCCTGACTTCTACTGTCATCTTTTCTCCCTAAACAGATATCCAAAGAAGTTGAGAATTTCCTCTTCATATTTAGCATGTGTCTCCTCAAAGAATATCTTTCCCATTTCCTGACCTTGCAAGACAGTGACCTGCCTTGCTTCCTCTGTGATCATCAGTACAGCATCTAACAGAGCAGAGCTTGTGTTTGTGAAACAAAGATTATTGTGATGATCACAAAGAGATTCTTCCCAATTTCCACCAGTCAGAAACTGTAGCAGAGGTCTCAAATGCATACATTTAAACCAGGAGAAAATAAACCAGGAGTGACACATTGTAGCTTGTGCATTATATGTGACATGACACAGATTATCTTAACTCATTCCAGGTGTAACACACAAACACCACTCAGTAGTTTCTATTTTCTTCCTCCCCCACCCAAAACACCTTTCTGTCTAAAAGCTAAAATAATCCATAAGCATTTATAAGTCACAAATCCACCACATGAAGATAGACTCTGAAGCAGACTAAACCACTCAGATCCAGTCAGTTTTATTAAAGCAAATTAATTTGCCTGAATACCTGGCCATCCTGCTCAAAGGTCCACTTTGTTCCAGGGACAGTTCTGTTACTTTATTTGCTTTCACTAAGTGAAACCTTTTTTATCTTTTCAGCCTTAGGAGAGTACTAAAACTCAGGTTTTGTATTGCTTTCCCACTAACAGGAACACTAGGAAGAAAAGCACCAACCATCTGTTTGGACTCTAGTGGGGAAAAAAACCAACCCACAAACAAACCCAAAAAACCACGTAGTCACAGAAAGAAAATCTTCCCATGAATTCTTTTTTATATAAACATCACATAGCCGCTTTAATTTTGGCACATCCTTACTTCTGAGTAGGATTATTTCCTTGCCTTTAGCACTATTTTAATTTTGGAAATAAATTTCTATATGACATCCTGTACTTTTATCATCTAAAGACATATGGCATGAGGAGGGGAAAGGAAAATCATAATTATGCAATATACCAGTTAACTAAAACCTGGTAATACTCTAGTGCTAATCTTCACAGAAAAATATAAAACTGATAAAGCTGGGCAAAATTTGTTAACAGCTTGTTACAGAGGCTATTTTTTATTGATGGGCTGCTACTTTTCCCTGAGCTATTATAAAATCTGTGTCTTCAAGGTCAATTGAAGCATCATTTTCACTATAGGTAGAGATCAAATTATTCTCTACAGTGGAACAGCAGCTCTTCACATAACAATGCTTTGTTCACATTTGTTTTACCTGCAGGAAATTGTAGAATGCATTACTGACAGAGAAACTTAAAGTACATTTCTGCTCTGAAGAGCAAATTCAGTCAGGACTGTGTTTATTGTCTTTCAATGACACTATAGCAGGTGACTGTTAGAGAAAAAGATTTCTTTCTTTCTTCTATATTGCTTCTTGAATGGTATGTTCCAAACTCAGAGGAGGCTAATTTCCCTTTCTGACCATCAGCAGCAATACAGACACTGCAGCAGCAGCTCTGCCCGCAGAGACAGCCACACAACCTCCCTCCTCTGCAGTAAGGCCCTGGAGTTACAGCCTGGCTTTCCCCCTCACTGCTAGACCTCATCCCATCTCACAACATACACAACTTCTAGTAGCTAACCATAATAAGAGTTTTCGAATTTCTGCCTTATTTTTAACATGAATACTTCAAACACAACATCTGTAGGAAGCACAGACATAAATGCTCAGACACAGGCCGTAGATTCTTCAACAGTGTTTAGAATTCCTTCAGGAGTCATAATCTTATTTACAATTGTGCCTTGCTTGATAATCAATACATTTTTCCTTACCCTCATTTATCACTGCTCAGGCCTCTCCATAATATCAAGTACCCAGATTCTTTAAATGATCCCATTCCAGCCATCACATCATATCAGAAAATGGTTTGAATGACACAAATTACCTTTCACAATTTACAAAGAAGCAAAAAATGGGTATAAAAATTTCCAATGCAAAACATTCCTGTGACATTAGACTTCAAAGTACATACATTTACTAACAGAACCAGAGAAGACTCTCAGGTATCTTCATGAGAGCATGTGATTTACAGGCAGACTAGGAGCTGAAAAATCATGCATTTCACAAGGTTACCAAGTTACACACAGTAACTATAACTATAGAAGGCAAGAGATGTGGTTCTTATTTGTCCTTCCCCCACCCTCTCACAGCTAATCTATTCAGATAAATTGTCATAGCAACTTGATTTATACACCAAGGATACCAGCAAAAACACGTCAATTCCCCTGAGAGAACTCATGAATAGAGTCCAGCCTGTCCTGGTGCTGGCAGAGACTAAAACTAAATGCCCTTCCCTGCTACCATGGACTGCCAGAGCAACTTCTCCTGGCGCTGGCACTCCACGCCGGGCACTCCTGCTCAGACTGCAGCCATGAACCTCCAGTTTGTGTCAAAGGCAAGGCTGCATTGTTCAGAAAAGGTCCTCCCTTTGTACTTTACAATATTTTACTGCATGAGTAAAGCTCAAAAAGAAAGCAGCCTTTCTGAAGTGATGGATGCTGTACACAGTGGAGCACACTCTTCCAAAGGGATGCTGGACTTGCTCTGTGTGTACTGAAGGCAATGGACACTGTCCTGTGCTCCTGGTAAAGTGACTGACCATCCTATCAATAACAAATACAGCCACCCTGAAGATCATGTAAACATATACCACAAGAGGGAAGACAGAATTCTTCCAGCAATTTTCAAGAATGCTTTCGTTGTAACAGAATCCTTTCAATTTCAAATTTGCAAAGTGAAAAGTGTAGTAGGCAATACAGAATTTAAAACAATAAACAAATACCACAGCAGATAAATAGGCATTTATTAAAGTTCATCTCAAACAAAAATAATAAAAGACATTAAGGCATCTTGTATTCAATAACAGTTCATATAGTAAAGATGACTTCTCCTTCTTATACAAGAGAGCAGATTAGGGAAAAAAAAGAAAAGAGCTCTTGCAAAGAAGTTCTCCCAAAACATTTGATGGATTACTGACTTCCACTGTCCCACCACTTAGTCAGGAAATCCCTCCAAAGAATGCCTATTTCTGCAATGAAGCAGCTACAAAATCCCAATACCCATTGAGACATATGCAAGAAAGCACTTTTGCCTCTCCTCAGATATCCCACTGCCTGTAAACATGCACACTGGAGAAAGAGCAACAGATGGGGCATTGTGGAGAATAAAGAAGCTGCTCTCCTGCTATAACCATTCATTTTTGAGCAGACTAGAATATTTGGCCTTGCTTTCACTAGTATTTACTACTTCAGCCAGTAACTAGTGAAAATAAGACCACAAGCTCTAGCCTGCTCTGCAATGCAACAATTTGTATGTATGTTCTCCTTCTAGTTCATACTAGATAAACAAATGACAAAGGTCTTATTTCCATGGAACAATTTATTTTGATGAATTAAGCCATCAAGCCACCAATCACTGTTATAGTGTTTTTTTCTTCAATTGGAATAAGAACATCAGGAAATGTTTACAGTATCATTGGGTTCACTATAACAGGATTTTACTACAGACTAAATATAAATTACTAAACACTTCAGCACTATTCACCACACTGGCTCTCTATATCCTTTGTCACATTCTAACCTTCATTTAAGGCAAGTTTGTTGGTTGATTTTTCTGAAGATGACCACATGGTCTCTAGATAAGCTTGTGTGACTAGATTTACAAGTTAGGAAATCGAGCTTTATAAAATGTTTACTTCAACAAATATGAAAGTTATTAAGAGAGAGATGGTGACCCAGAATTGCACTGTATTAAAAGGTGGAGTTTCCTTGTACCAAAGTCCTTTATTCATCATCTTTAGAACCAGTTTTGCTTAACTATAAAAGAGACACAAAAAGAAAGTATTCAAAGTTTAGACTATCATTCCATTTATTAGGAAACAAGAACATTATTTCCATCTCACACTGAACATGCATATACTTAATTAACAATACAGACTGATTGTGCTACTGTATCAAAAGACTGAAAAGCATCAAAAATTAATTCTTAAGCTTAAACACTAAATGAGCTTATTTCCTGATCATGAAAGTTGAATTTTAAGAACACGAACCAAACAACAAACCCCAGAAAAACCTAAGGGCACTGTTTCTATTTAATTTGAAGGCTATATCACCAGCTCTCCAAAAAGAAAAAGATGAAGTAATGGAACTTTATCTTCACATATCTCTGAGAGAATTCCCATATAAAAATTTAGACAATATAAAAATAGACATTAACATTAACTTAGTATATCTCACCTTTTAAAGCTAGGCTTATAATTATTAAAAGTAGCACGCCTATCATGAAATCTATCTGAAAACCAAGACATCCACTACAAATAGCCACTTTTAACTCAGAAGGATTCTGCCCAAAACAACCTTCATAATTTACTTGCTCTTATTTAACAGCTCGAACTGGCGTTAGGTCTTACAGTGAAAATTACCTCAGTTGTGTCAAATAAAATAGTTTGCCTTCAAAATTGTAAAGCAGTGATTTTCACTGAATCAGCAAAGACAAGAGGGTGGAAGAAATCAATACTGAGGGAGCAAGTAGAAAAGAATTATTCACTGGAGGAGCTGCAGCAGAGAATGAGGCTTGTAGGAGACAGCAAGGTGCTCCCACTTGGGACAGCTCCCTTTTAGTTCTTACTTATCCACTGCCCTCCAGAACATGGCAGCACTACTAACTTTATTTTAAATCTTGTCATATGAAGACAGAATATTTGCAGTGCATTCCTCTCATCATAAAATTAAGATTTAATTGCTCTGTAAATAAAGAAACCAATTATGTTCAAAGAGTGAACTCCTCCAGACTAATATTCAGAAGAACTAGCATTTTAGAGGTTTTGAGAAATTTGTAAATTAGAATCCAAAATAAGAAACAGTTCTTACTCTCTTACAAATCTTTTTAACAGTAAAAAAAGAGAACTTGAAAATACTTACATGCTGGACACATATAGAAATTAATCAGACATCATAGTCAAATCCAAACATAGTTAGGAAGAAAAGCAAGAAAAAAATAGATTAGTTTTCTTCAGATATAAGTACAAATAATTTTTAATTTACATAGACAGCATGTTCACAATACTGTATATAATACACTCACTTTACCTTAATTACATCAACCCAGTTCCATCCTCGTGGAAGCTCTCCTTTGTTATCTGCAGAAAAAGGTTTAATTTCAGCACACAAGCTAAGGGGAATATTTATCTTTCTTCAAAATCGACCCACAAAATTCTAAATATCCAAACCCCTCAATTTCTGTGCTCTGAAGCCATGAGGACAGAAACAGATTTTAATGTCTTCAACACAGTGTGTTCTTCAACCAACCTCAAAGTGAAAGAAGGAAATGAAATAGCCTTAAGCTGTGCCAGGAGAGGTTCAGATTAGATTTAAAATAATCATTTTTCACTAAAAGAGTAGTTAGGTATTGGAATAAGTGGCCTAGGGGAGTGGTGCAGTCACTGTCTCTGGAAGTGCTCCAGAGGGGTCTGGATGTGGCACCTGGGGATAGCTTTAGGGGTGATTATGGTGGTGATGGGTTAACATCTGGATAGATGAACTTGAAGCTCTCTTCCAGCCTTGGTGATTCTCTGATTATGTGATTCAAAGTAATTCAGTTTAAATAAAAACAGCTCAGTCCACCTGAAATTTAGTTTAGAAGGTAGCTCCAATATGAGCTGGGCTGACCAGCAATGATGAATTCTGTCAAAGAACTACATTTTATGCACCTTTTCCTTTATACAGCTAACATTAAGCTTGCCAATTATACATTAGGTTAGGTAGATTACATGCAGAAATCACTATCACAGGGTACAATTTATTGCTACAACAGGATGGTATTATCCAGACCATTATTGAAAACTGAAGGTGAACAGGAAAGAGTCATCAGCAAAATTAACTGAAGTAATCAACACTTTCAATCAAAATCCTTCTATTTCATTGAAAGCATTAAGTATCTGCAGAAGCACTTCTATTTCTAGACTGCAAATTAAATTAGATGCTTTACTTTGGGTTCCAAATAAAATACTTTTGTTTAGAAATTGCATTTTAAATATTGTGAATTATTTATGAGGGCCCATCAACAAACTGCATTTTTTGCTGAAAGTGAATTTTTAGAGGTCCCAAATCCTCTCCTTTCACAAGTGCTTTTTGAAAATTTCATTTTTGTCACCAACAGAAACAAAACAACTAAAAGATGTCATTAAGTCATGACTCTACAGAAAGTTGCTATGACCAGAACTAACATCTCGGGCAAGAATAATTCATTTAAAACAAATAAAATGGAGACCACAGACTTAAAGTAGTTCATCTTATAAACAAATTACTAGTTACCCTTTCTCTAGCCAGGTGTCCTTGCTATAAAGTTTGGATTTTCATACTGATCAAAGCGAAGCTGAGTATAGCGAACAAACCTGTTTTATCGGCTAGTTTTCGTTTCTGGGTTTTGGATAACTGTTCCTTTTTCTCTTTTTTCTTACTTGGTGGCACTTCAGGAGTTCCAATTGAAATACTATTGCTGACTGAAGTCTGAGAAGAATAAAAGTGGTTGTAAACATTTTGCGTATTAGTTCCATGGATATCCCTGTGTGATGTGATTACTGAACCTGACATACTGAAATACCTTAACTGCCAGAAAGAAGCAATGCTCTCAGCAGCCTGCAGCTTTTAACCACACATAACCAGGGCTGTACTTTTAAAAAACGTGTTAGGGACTGGAATTATTCTCTTCCAGTTGCAAAGGGCACCTTTGTCACTTTAAAATTTAAGCATGGAGTGTGATTTAGTCAGAATGGATTCTGACTTATCAAACATAGCAATCATTCCTTCATTCCTTCCTCCTCAAAGCAGATCTGCTGCACCATCAAGGCAAAGAATGTGCTTACATAACCCAAAAGCCATAAATGGACCCAGCCTGACTACTTTAAGGCCCTGGAGGTGCACTTTAACAATCCCAGGAAGGCTGCAGTAAATTGCCACCCCTCCAATCCTCAGCAGACACATCTCTGTTTCAGCTTCCTTTGGTTTTATTTCTGCTCAAAGTCTCTATTTTAATGTTATCCTGTGGGACATAACAGCAGGCTGCAAACATCTGGTGTAACAGCAAAATAACTATCAAATAGAACAATTATCACCACAGAGTACTGTGGCACCATACTTTATCATTTTCAGCCACAAACATGTATAACCAGTGAACTGATTTACAGCTTAGAGAGAACTCTATAATAATCTTTTTTTTTTTTCAGTTTTAAAAGGACAAATTAAAATCAGAATTTATCTACATACCACAGTGTTAACAGGTTGATTTTCCATGAACACCTCCTTATTGTCTTTGGCATATTCAAAAAGTGTGTATGTCATTGCAGTTCCAAGGTTTGCTTCAACTTCTACCATTAACTTATCCAATATACTTTGCTTAATAGCTGAAGATCTAAAAGAAATCATTAAACTCAAGTGTAAACTAGACAGATAATAAAAAGCTTTTCAAACAAAGAGTGGCCACCACAAGGCCAGGGAGTGAAGCTGTCACAAATACTTACATTGTGTTGTTGAAGAAAGCATCCATCGATATGACTGGTGCTGTTTGTGGATATGTTTCTGGCCAAGAAACTTCTATTAGAAAGGCTTTGGGATCTCCACTTTCACCTATCTGAAGAGGGAAAAAACCCCCAACTCTATAAATCAACAGTTTCCAGTCACTTTCTGAGGATTACAAAGCAAATAAAGAAGTCTATTACTGCTTTTAGACCATCAAAATTCCTTGAGACAACTATTTTGAAAGTTATCAGTTAGAAAATAAAGCTGTTATCTAGAAAGAGCATTAAATTTTGGACATCATTATTAACATTTACTTTGCAGTTTTAATTCTAGAAGAAGCAGCAGAAACTCTCAAATCACTTTTTATGTTTTTTTAATTCCTTTGTTTAAAAGCTACTTTGTAATATCTTCAAGCCAAATATTATAGTGTCACATAGGAAAACAGAAAATATGAAGCCTTTTCTCCCCCCCACGCATCTAAGCACAGAGCAAAATGAAAACTAGCCACAAGACAGAGTTCAAATAAGGATGATAATAAACTAGTATGCTAAGATAGCAAACATAATAGGTAAGAATATCAATATTTACATCTCATAGCTACAGATTTCCCTGTATGAAAGAATGAGTGGTAAAAGATTTAAGAAGTCAGTAGAATGAGCCTGGATTTAAAAAGAAACCCAACAAATTACAGCAACCCAACAAAATACAATCAGAAATAGCTGTTTTACACAAGGATTTGGAAGACTAGCACAGTAATGTTTCTAAAACCACCCAAAATTTTCCCTTATTTGCCTCATTATAAAAATCAGCCTTTATCTAACTAAGTAGAATAAAGTTTGTCCACAAGGGAAATCCTAATCAAAGTAAGACTATGGTTCTTCAAAATTAAAAAAAGTAAAGAAAAAATTGCTGCTTTCTTATTTACAATACCTGTTTCAGCAGACTGCATTAACTGACATTCAAAACCACTTGTTTAGTGGTGAAACAGATAAAACTTTAAAACAAGAATCTGCAACATTTTTCAAGGCAGCATTTACAGCTCATTTCCCACTGCTGCCAAGAGCAGAAGTGGCTGCATGGTTCACAGGTTCTCTCAGGAAAGCACTGTCTGTGTGCAGAGCAAATCCTACAAAGCCATACAAATTCTGTCTTCTCATGCAATTACTTGCATTATGACTTCTCACAATACAATTTTTCCTTCATGGAAAAGGTGTATTATTGCCTTTGTATGACAATAAGTTTTATTGTATTTGAGTTATCCTAACTTTTGACAATTATTTTTTGTCTAATAAAAATCAGCAACAACCAAAGCTAGTGAAAAGTAAAATGACACTCTTTAGGCTTGTAGGCATGTCATATTTCCCCTTTCAAAGAAATTAATTTTATTAAGAATGATCGAATCAACGAAGAAAGGCTGCTCTTACATGGCTGGGATTCCAAGTGCTATTAATTAATTGAGCTGTTTCTCATTACAATTAGTGACATTATTCTTAAGTTATTTGAGAAGTCACAGAAAGGTGATTTTAGATGGTTTCTCCCTGAAACAGGCATATGGCATTTTCAGAAGTCTCCCTTCTGTCCCATGGGTCCCTAAGTAAAGTTTCCTGGCCATCAAAAGGTCTGCCTCAGTCTGTGCCCAGAAGAACTTCCAGGTTTTTAAATCTGAGAAAGCTGGTGAGAATTTCATGCCAGAATCTAGTTGTACACCTTGAGCTCAGCACCCCCTGTATGTCTCTTCTGACCAGACTGTGTCAGTGCATATGCCCAAAGCAACTTGTGGATTTTCTCTTTAGCAGGCAAACAAGACATGATCAAAACTCTTTGGACAAGAGACAGGAATCTTCTAACTAAGCAGTTAACAAAGGCTCCAAATTTTACATAGAAAGATCTCTATAAATCTCTCCATTTCTGACCAGTTAGGGTAAATACTACAGAGCAGGCTGCTCCTGCAGAGGACGGGGCAGTTCTGGCTGCCCAGGGCACAGACACACAGGTGGGATGCCTGGCTCAGGGATAACTGCCTTGTGGTGCCAAGGGCAGCAGGAATGGGCAGGAACTGACGGACAGGAAGCTCCACCTGAGCATAAGGAAGGATTTCTTTACTGTGCAGCGGCTGAGCACTGGAACACATTGTCCAAAAAGGTTCTGGGGTCTCCCTCACTGTAGATTTTCAGGAACTGAGGGGACACAATCCTGTGCCACGTGCTCTAGGAGGGCCCTGCCTGAGCAGGGAGCTTGGAGCAGATGATGCACTGTGGTCCCTTCCAACCTCACCTGTTCTGTGATTCTGTAATAAACCCATGCTGGGGGCAGGTTCACAAACATGACACACTGTGCTATGAAGCACTGTTGTACCAAACAGCCTGAAAACCGCCCTGTGATCTATTCTTTACTGCACATGGGATATCTCTGCGGCTCAGAACCCCCTGGTACGGCAACTACAAGGCAGCACAGTAACCGCAAGGTGCACCTTGGCCTTACCCGGTACTGGAAGGACACGGGGCTCAGCTCCCTGAAGCACACGTCTCCCTCGTAGATGGAGCGCAGCGCTTCCAGCTCCATCTGCAGCCAGAGCAGGGGTTACCGACCGCAGCCCCGGCCGCGCCCCCCGCCCAGCTGCCCTCTCCCGCCGCTCCGCTCGCCTCCCGCCCCGGCCGGCCGCCCCTCTCCCGCACGGCTCTATCCCGCCCTCCCAGCCCCGGTTCCGCTCTCCCTCAGGCAGCGGGGCCCGGAACTCACCTCCTGGTCCTCGTTGGCCGCCATGGCGGAGCTCCCGGCCCCGCTCGCTGCGGCCGGGGCTGGCGGCCCTGCCTGCCGCGGCCCCGCCGCCCTCGCGCGGACGCGCCTCTCCCGAGGGCAGCGCGGGGCACCCGAGGCACCGCCCCCCGCCCTGCCATTGGCCGGCTGCGCGTCCCCCCGCGCTTCCTCCCTCCGCTCATTGGCTCTTTCGCGGTGACGTCCCGGCGCGGGCGCTGCTGACTGGTCCGAGGGCTGCGGCGGAGGCGCCGATTGGCCGCTCGCGCTGCCCTTCCGACGCTGCCCGGCGCTCGCTTCCTGAGGCGGCGGCCCGCCCGCGCCGCCTCCCGTGACCCGCGGCCGCTCCCAGCTGGCGCTTCCCGGCGCTTCCCGGCTCCATCCCGCCGCAGTGAGCGGCGCTACGGGGAGCACGGGCCCGGGACAGCGGGGCGCTCTTGCGGCCGGCCTGGGCCGCCCTCCCGCCGCCTCGCAGGCCGCCGTCCCGGCTGCAGGATGACCCCTCCGTCTCACTGGGACTTCCCGGTGGAGCTGTGCTGCCGGCCCATGGCGTTCGTCACGCTCACCGGCCTGGACGTGGTGTACAACGCCGTGCACCGCGCCGTGTGGGACGCCTTCTGCGCCAACCGCAGAGCCGACCGCGTCCCCATCTCCTTCAAAGTGCTGCCCGGCGACCACGAGTACCCCAAGTGCAGGACGAAGGTAGCGGGCGGCGCGGCCCCGGCTGCGCCCCGTCCCGCCGGGCGCCAGCCCCGCGGCGGAGCGGCGCCGGGAGCGGGATGCGGGAGCGCCTTTCCCCGCGGGAAGGGCCGTGCTCCCGGCTGCCCGGGCTGCGGCCGGCGGCACCGCGCTCTGCCGCGCCGCGGCCGCCTCTTGCCCGTGCTGGAGGGGGAGAGTGGGAGTTCGAGTCAGGGAAGTGCGAGGGGAAGCCTCTGAGGGCGTTGTGATGGAGCCCTGTGGGTGCAGGGAAGCCTAGGGGTGCCTTAGCTCATGAGCCACAAGCACAGAAAGCCCGTATGGTTTACTTGTTTAAGTACTTGCATAGCATTGAGGTGCCTCGTAAAATTTGAGCTTTACTGAAACCCAAAATTTAACTTTGGAGAAACGAGATACTTAATGTATTTTGAAAAAAACCCTAACCTAACCTATAAAGCTTTTTTTCACCAAACATTTCACTTTAGCTGGTGAAACACAGCAGAAGGAATATCTCTGTTAATCTTTGTGCTTTGCAATGGCAATGAGTTTTAACTGTTATAAAACTACATGATTCCATTATGCTGACAAAGAGTCTAAATTGGTGTGTCCTTGCACTGTTTTGAAGCCATGGTTTTCAGCTGAGCCTGGTATTTCACGGCAGTGTATGAGGCTCGCTCCTGAGCGTGACCCTCTCCTCCAGCCTCCCTGCAATCTGCTCTTGCTGCTAATGGGGCACCAGGCCCTGCTGCCTGAGCTGTTGTGGGATATGGCTTAATTGGAAGCAAGGCTTGAGGGGAACAATGTTAAAGGCAAGATGACAAACATATTAAGTGACAAGAATGTAGAGGATATGCCCTTTCTCCTGCTATAAATGTTTGTGAATGGATTTTGTAGCTTGCTTCAATATCCTCAATGTTTTCAGAGGACATCCTATGAGTGGTATATTCCAAAAGGAATCCTGAAGACTGGTTGGATGAACAAACACCTGAATTTGGTTCCAGCACTTGTGGTGGTGTTCTATGAACTGGACTGGGATGAGCCACAGTGGAAGGAAAAACAGTTGGAGTGTGCTACTCGAGTTGAAATTGTCAGGTAGATTTTTTTTTTTTCACTTGCTTCATAATGTACTGCAAGCTAATGCAAGTGTGATTGCAGAATCTGTTTGCATTCTAGAACATACAGGGTTTTTTTCTTAAATATAAATTTAGGGGAACTTGAACTTTGCTTTATAATATAAAGAGTCAAGAGCTTTTTTAATGGTTTATTTGTAAACCATTACTTATTTTACTTAAGTAAAAACAGCCCCTGAAATTTTACTTGCTAAACTCAGCACAGTTTTTCTTCCCAAAAGAAGGAAGACAGTATTTTCTGAATGATGGAGCATGTTGTGTTGTTTGGCTTTTTCACCTTTGTAGCATTCTTCCAGTGCTTCCATCTAGACTGATGTTTTTTTCCTGGTTATTCAGAAATAAGAGGTGAAACCTTGATGCTGTGCTATGTTGTCTTTATTTTAGGCAAAGCTTGCAGGGAAGAAATACCAAAGTTGCTGTGGTTTTGATTCAGAAAAAAACACCATTGCCTCCAGGTACTTGAAAACTCTATGCACAGTTGTGGAGTTCTCATTTTTCAGAAGTCCCAGCAGACTGAGCTGTCTTTGGTTTGTCACATCTGTGGTTCTTCATCTGATGTCATCTGCATTCATTAAATGCACTGTGACTGCAGGAAGGTGTCAGGATAAAAAGAGCATTCCGGACTGTTGACCCTAAACATTTGTTACTTTTATTTCTAACTTCTTCCTCTTAAGTCCAAGTGCATTTTTTGATACACAGTATCAGAGATGGCTTCTATGCTAAAACATCTGACCTGCTTTCTTGTAAGCAAGTTGCATTTTAAACGTTGCTTGAAATCAGGAAAACCAGTAAAAGCATTGACAACTTAGAGGAAGAGTGTTTGGTACTTACTGAGGTCTTTTGTCTTAATTTGGTTTTAATCAATAAAATTTTGGAGCCACGTGGAACTGTGAAGCGTGACACACTTTAACTTTACATTGCTGTAGAGCTCCTTTGTGCTTTCTAGTGTCTGGCAAACCATTTTTGGTTTTTTTGCTCTACCTGCTGTATGTGTTTGTCTTTCCTGGATGCTGTCGTGTTTCTCAAGACACAGGATATTTAATTCTGTGAGAGGTGAAAAACTTACATCATACTTGTAATTTTTTGCTAAAACCTGCTAGAAAGTTTCTGCATGTGTTCTGCTCAATGAAGCACATAGTACTCTGAAAGAAGTAAGAAAGAATGTGCTCTTGGTTTTATCTTTATTAGATTTTTCAATATTGTTTAGACCTTTTGGTCTACCTAAGGTTCATAACCTGACCTTTAAGCTTTTAGAACTAGTTTGACATTGCAGCACCCACTTACTTGTGCTTTCCTTGACTTCACTAGGGGAAGATGTTATTGCATCAGAGAGGGCTGCAGCTTTATGTAATGCTTGTGACCTTTCTGGAAAATCACTGTTTGTGCTTCCCCACACTGATCATCTTGTTGGCTATATTATCAGGTAAGTGACTGTGAACCCCTGTCTTGCTCTGTTTGCAGACTGTGGGTTGGTTTACACAGCCCCTGGCCTGCTGGCAGCAGATGGTGTCTCAAAGGGGAAGGAAGATCTGCACACAAGAGTTAGCAGAGCTTACTGAAGGGGCTTTAAACTAGACCTAAAGTGGGAAAGGGATAAAACCAGTTTCACTAAAAATAAGCCTGGTGCCAGCATGCCAGTATTGCACTATTGGTGTGCTAGTGAGGGCCTTCATTCTGCTGGCTCAGTGGAGATAGTGGATGGAAATCCATGCAGTGCTGTGTCCAGTTCTGGGCACCTCAGTGCAAGAAAGACAGTGAGGTGCTGGAGTGTGTCCAGCTGGTGGAGGGTTGGGAGCAGAAGCCTTATGAGGAGCAGCTGAGGGAACTGAGGGTCTCTAGTTTGGGGAAGACCTTATTGCTCTCTACAGCTCCCTGAAAGGAGACTGCAGTGGACAGGTTGGTCTGTTCCCCATGGCTTCCCCTCAAGTCATAGGGTGAGAAGAAATGGCTTAAGTTGCTTCAGAGGAGATTTAGATTGGATATTAGGAAAAATTTCTTCACCAAAGGGGTTATCAAGCATTGGAACAAGATGCCTAGGGAAGAGGTTGAGTCACCATTGAAGGTGTATTTAAAAGACACATATACTGTGCTTAGGGACAGTAGGATGGGCTTAGTGGTGGACTTGGTAACAGGTAGACAGTAACGTTTGATGATCTTAAAGGTCTTTTCCAATCTAAACAATTCCATGGTTCTAACAGAGAATTTGAGAGGTCATGAAATGAATGCTATGTGGTGCACTGATTGTAGATCAGCACTGAATGTTTTACCTGTTTGCTGGAATTCTTCAGGTTATTCTGATGAATTCCACACAATTTCATTTCTCTGTGAGGTTGAGTAATGACAGTCAGATTTGCTTTTAAGGAAATATTAGTAGATATCCCAAGATGTTCCCCAGGTAGAGATAAAGTGGGCTTTTCTACTTCTACAGTGGTTTTGACCCTGCTGGTTTCAATGATTTTCCATACAAATATGTTTTTAGTTTATCTCTTAACAGGTTTTTGGTTTCCCCCCCCACTTCCACTCCCTGTCCATGTAGTCTCCCCTTCTGTTTAAGTTAAGTGGCATCTATCTGGTTGCAAATATTATGTCTTTGTCATTCTATACATTTCTTGTGCCTTCTGTTTTGATATTTAAATGGACTACAATTTCAAATAATTTAGGAAGGCCTTTCAAAATCAAATTGAGGAAAGGTAAACACTTTTGTGTAGCTCTAAAAAGAAGGGCTCAAACTAAGGAACTGTTTTACAATAATTAGTTCTAATTTTCCATATATTCTCAGGGAGAGGAGGGGTCACAGTCTGAGGTTAACTCTGCTCTCACCCTCATATTTATATATAAACAGTATAATTTTCAACATAAATTAGTGCTGCTATTGTATTCATGCTGCTCACAAACTGCCACTGGAATTCATCAAAATAAAGTAACCATTACTTCTAGCTTTTCATATTTTTTTAGGTGCTAAATTGATATTATATTAACAGAACTGGTACTTCAGCCTTTATTTCCTGCATGTGTCAGTGCTGTTGCATGTATTCCTCTCCTGGATTCTGATGTTGTTTTAGTTGATTTTACTCCTTACAGCTTGGTTATACAACATAAGCTCCTTAGATCCTCCTCAGTCTCATGCTGCATTTGGTGTGCTTGTCCTCTTTGTCCTCTCCCCCTGTGAGTTGCTGTGGGCTATTTCTCGTGCTGACAAGTTTCACTGTTACCTCTGCAGCCAAGGTAGCTGTTGATGTTTGGACAGAATAATGAGACCTAGTCTGTACCCTCAAAATTTTATTTACTGCTATT